ATGGCATAATAGGGTGTTTATTTTCTGTTAAAAATTCTACGTGAAATACAAAAACTTCTTACAAGCATGCATACCTGACGTTTAAACGTGTAGCTTATCCGCGTCTATCAGGTACACATAATGAAGACGTAAGAGCGTCCGATAAAATCACAGCAAATTCGTAACCCTTTGAAGAGTACGGCTAGTGCGTCAGGATTGCCAACTGAAGTGTGAAGTGAAGGAGTGCCAGGTATTACACGAGAAACCGAAGAACTGTTACTTTCTTGCACTACTCACAGGGTTTGTGAAATGGAACGCCATCTTTAGCATATAAGCGTTTTTGCATATAAGCCTTGCATAGATGTGTCGCCTTAAATGTCCTACTGGCTAATGTTCATACGACAGCAAACGTCTATAAGAATGCGCAAATTTTTGTATTAGCTTTTTAAATACGTACGTAAATATGTGTCCAATCGCCTCATTTAGTTTTGTTGGGTCCGAACTTAAAAAAAATCCTACCACGGGAAGACGTTCCAATTTTCGTGGGTGTTCCATTGGTTATTGTTAAAACAAATACCATTATGTCCTGTACAATGAAAAAAATTACAGTAACCTTTTTAAGGTTAAATTCGCACGACATTTCAGGACATTTGGTTGCCTGATATGATGCACCTCTATGATCGAAACGTAGTGTTCTCAAAAGCGAAACAGAGAAAAGACGAGTGAGTGAGTGACACACCTGTGATGGAAAAGATTCCCATTCAATCGACCCTATAAATGATATGTTCGCATCTGCATCTATGTGCGTAGTATGAACAAGTAAAATGGCTTCTGCTGTTATAATATGTCGAAACAGGCCCATAAAGAAGGTCCGGCTAATGCGGTGAATGCAGGGGCGGAAGCACATCACAGCATAAAAGACCGAGGGAATCGTGCTTGTTGGTCGGCCATACAGGAAGCGACAGTTTATAATAGGGATCAGCCTTCTTAGGCTAGATAGTGCCAACGAAATGATACAATCTTTTACATTTTGAACACAAGTTTTCAATTAACGCGACACGAATAAAATTTGAGTGCACGCATTTCCAGTCAGTTTATAGGGAGAATGCTATTGGTAGAAGCCTTTATAAAAATGCCCAAATAACATGAACCTTGCATTAAGGAGTCTTTTATGAAACATTTAAAAGCAACGTTAGAAGAAGATCGTCGCTAGAAGAAGACACAACGATCCGAAATGATTTATTACTAATCTGCAATAATGTTGCCCGGTACATAATGAAGTGACTTATTAAAATGGAACCGTAATATTACAGGTGGATTAATATTGAGGTCCCATCGATAGTCCAATGGTAATGTGGTTTTCCGCAAAGCCCAAAAAGACACGATATAGTTTTGCTTCAAAGCTGAGTCTGGATAGACAGTTCGTTTTATGTTCAGACTCGGCCGTCTGGGGCTGCTCTGAACAGCTGCATCGATTGCATAAATCAAAGGATTTATTTAGGTCCCATATAGAGAAATCGATAATACGCGATTGCTATTATCCATGGAGACGATTTCTTGGCATATATACATTTATTACGAAACAAAAATCATTAGGATAGTGCGTGTTGTATGGAAAAGTTGAGCGAAAACTTTGATTTTGGACGAACTTTTCGTAGTAGTCTACGGTGATGGGGACCTATGCGTCCAATGAGCCATAAACACCTGTTATCTAACATTTTAGATCGGTCTTATACGGTACGTAGATCCTGTCGTTAACTGAGTTTTAGACTCCCTGTCTTTTAACAGCATCGCATGTCAGTCAGGCCATATCAAGGATTATTTCGGGTGTAGAGAAGGATTAGAAGTGTCTTGGGTAGTAGTAATAGAAGTGGTGTTTAGGGCAACTAACGCTGAATCATCTTTATATGAAAGCCTTCGACGTTTATCTTTCGTACCATTGGATTAACCACAGGACAGGCCGATAAGGCCACGTAAATGCATAGCCAGTATTTCCGTGCTTCCAATAATTAACTCAGAAACTATCATATGTGCTAGACGGCCCAGAACGATCTTCTTGGGTTGTTCCGCCTTTATTTGTTCAGGACTTTTTATGTAACCACTGAGAACTAAGGATTTCTATGACAAAAACAATGAACACTTTGAGATCACGACAATCAAAGTAACTAGGTTGATACCGAAAGCCGCGGGTATATAATATGAGGTCGATTTAAAAATGTTGTTAGGTTTGAGGCAATAGGTTTGGTATTATACCTGGTTTGAACTGAAGCATCCGTCTTTATGATCGGGCTCCCAATGTGCGTTGCTGCGAGTAACTCGGAAATGGCTTTCTGAATACCTAATCTGCCGCCATTGCAACGTGCCCGTTTGCTTGGTAGATCCTCGACAACGTGCATGAGGCACCTATGCCCTTATGGGACTCTTGTAGTATACATTGTTGGGACATCTTGTAGTATATAGTAGTAGGATAGTACAGCTCTAAAATAAAAAGAAGCTGCCGCCGCTAATACATTAAGAAAACTATTCTGTAACACGCCGCATCGTTTTCTAATATCACTAAAGAGTATTGCGTTCATTTTTACCTATGTGTTTACTATTAGCTGAAGTGCGCAGTTCCTTTAGCTTCTTCTGAATAGTAATGATGACGGTTACCTCACCTAGATATGCAATTGACGAAGTCGGAGGTTAGTGGGATAGCCTATGCATAACGTCACATGCACCATATCCCACAGTATCGGCCTGAGGAGTGCG